GAGGCGCCGTTGTGCGTGTGCACATTCGCCGGCTGCGCACTTCTGTGCATGTGTAGAGGCGGCAGCCACTTGTGCACATGCGCAGGTGGCAGAAGCCGCTTCCGCACATGTGCGAATCACAGCAAACCCGGTGTTTACTTCTGGGTTTACCGCGGTCGCAACTTGGAACGTCCGTGAGAAGAGGCGGATGTAGGTCGAGGTTCCACTGGACTCTAGTATTGATTATTTTTAAGCACATGCCCTCAATTTGCTTACCTAACCCCCTTTATGGTGATAACTACTGTACTACAATCTCATCCCGTTTCAGACTGATGGGCTGTGTTGGTGTTTTCACAAACAGCTGGAAGGGTAGCTACTTTCCCTGCACGGTTTTCTCCCTTCTGTCCCAGGCTGAACATCAGTTAGGGCTGGTTTTCAACTTTATGATATTATCACCAGCTAAACATCGCGATATACTGATATATCACAATGTCTGAAATAAGGATGGAGCTATGTAGAGGCGTTGGCTGGCTTCACGGTTTCCCCCACATTGTGATTTTTTTCATAGCGTACACCCACACACAAAACTATGAAACCGACATCACAATATGGACTTTGAACAGGTGATATCGATATATTGCCCAGTCCTACTGAGTACCGTACCAGACCACAAGGCGCACTTAGTTTTTGGAGGAGGAAAACAAGGGAAAAAAATATTCTGAATCTCAGAAGCCAGAACAACAAGAGGGATCGCTGTGCAGTGAAAGCAGCAATCCCTCTTACTGTTCTGGCTTCTGGGATAGCTGCGCAGCCTGCATCCGCTCCATAAGACGCACACACATTTCCCCTTACTTTTTAGGAGGGAAAAAGTGTGTCTTATAGAGCAAAAAATACGGTATGTGGGCAGGGTTCACACATTACTCGAGTGGTATTCAGCTAAGTTTTACTCATTACTGAAAGTTAATGAACCTAGCTTAGACATGGAGGAGGAGGATGATTAGAATTTATATACCTCCCGAAAGCTACAGGATGCTTTAGCTGAGATTCCTGCATTGCAGGGGGTTGGACTAGATGACCCTTGGATCCCTACCAAATCAAAGATTCTATTATTGTATGTTCATTAACTTCAGTGCAATCAATCCTATACTTACCCGGGACTTACTTCCTGCTTAAACGTGTACAGTCTTGTGCTGCAAGTGGGTCTTACCCTGTTCCACAAGGTTTCTTTAAAAACAAAAGCCACATTCCCATCTACCCACCAAAACAGGGAAAGCTTGAAATGTTCAGAATTCCACAGACTCAGGCCATATGCTGGCATTTGCATCATGATACTACTATGTAGACCAGGGGTCGGCAAACTTTTCCGCCGGCAGGCCGGGTCACCTGCACGCAGGAGTGCATGGGCACGCACACAGGAGCGTGTGCACCCATGCACATGTGCACACACCCTCCGTTTTTCCCCCGCTGGCTTTTGGAGCCATGGCGGGGGAGGAGGCGGCGTCTGCAGCTTCCTGCAGCCAATAGGAAGCCGTGGCTGCGTCCTGGAGGTCAGTCCCTGTGCAGAGCTAAACTGGCGCGTCACGCCGGTTTTGCTCCACGTGGGGACTGACCGAGCGGGCGGCAAGGGCCAGGGGCCGGTATAACGACCCCCTCGGGCCGTATCCAGCCCGCGGCCTGTAGTTTGCCAACCCCTGATGTAGACCATCTGAAGACTCTAATGGAGGATGAGAAGCTGCAGCGTTCTGTGGACGGTGCCTTGCACCTCCCAAATGCTATGGGGTCTGATTTACTAGCCATTGCCGTCTAACACAGGCTAAGCCAATATGGTGCCTTCCAGATGTCTTTGGACTCTTAACTTCCATCAGCCCCTGTCAGCTTGGACAATGCTCAGGGATGATGCAAGCTGTAGTCCACCTGGAGGATGCCACTTTGATTACCCCAAATATATAAATAGGTAGAACTAATTTGGTGGCTACATAGAAAATCCACCTGCTCTCTAATGCAGCAGGTATTTGTCCAGCACAACATATATGGGCACAAGCTTAACACAAGTCAACAGTGTGATAGATTAGCAAAAATAAGCTAATGCTATTCTAGGCTGCATCAAGAGAAGTCTAGTGTCCCAATCAAGGGAAGTCAATAGTCTTGCTCTATTCTGCCTTGGTCAGACCACACTTGGGAGTATTGTGTCCAGTTCTGGGCAGCACAATTTAAGAAGGATACTGACAAACTGGAACATGTAAAAAGGAAGGCAACCAAGATGATCAAGGGTCTGGAAATCAGGTCTTATGAGGAATGGTTGAAGGAGCTGGGTACGTTTAGCCTGAAAAAGAGGAAACTGAGAGGACATGTGCTAACCACCTTCAAATATCTAAGGGCTGTCACATGGAGGATGGAGCAAGCTGGGACCCAAACCAATGGATTCAAGTACAGTACAAGAAATGAGATTTTGACTAAACATCAGGAAGAACTTTCTGACAGTAAGAATTGTCTGACAGTGGAACGGTCTCTCCTTGGAGGTGGTGGACTCGCCATCCTTGGAGGATTTTAAGCGGAGGTTGGATGGTCAGTCCTGTCATGTATGATCTAGTTGAGATTCCTGCATTTCAAGGGCTTGGACTAGATGTCCCTCAGGGTCCCTTCCAACTCTGCAATTCTATGAATCAATGAATATCCTACTACAGAGCAAGCAGGGCTGCAAAGCTGTTAATTTGGCTAATGAAAACAAAGACAGAGAGAGCCCCCTTAGGTAAGCACGCATGGGCAAACTCGGCCCTCCAGATGTTTTGGGACTACAACTCCCATCATCCCTAGCTAACAGGACCAGTGGTCATGGATGATGGGAATTGTAGTCCCAAAGCATATGGAGGGCCGAGTTTGCCCATGCCTGACCTAGAACATTTACAGCTTAGAATGAAAGTACCAGGATCTTGAACTGGTCACGTATGATCTAGCTGAGATTCCTGCATTGCGACACAGTTTGTTCCTACCTCTGAATGCTCTGAATGTTCCCAAAGACCAGCTTTCCATTCTTGTCAGCATTTCTTTGATATACCCCTTAACCCTTCATTGGGACATCCCTCCAAATTCTGATGGCAGGGCTACCTGAAGAGCGTCCAGCAACAGAACCCACTAACCTAATTAATACTTTCTATTCCTGTCTCCATGGGAAGTTTGAGCACAACTGACAACATGATGTAGCTGCTTTTCACACAGGGAATAAGGCTATCCATGGATACCAGCTAGCCCTGAAGGCTGCATAAAAGCTTCCAGTGTTGAAAGCAGGATGCCTCTGAACAGTTGTTGCTGGTGAGCACAAGTAAAAAGAAAGTGTTGCTGTGCTTATGTCCTTGCAGGGTTCCCATAGGTATCTGGTTGGCCACTGTGAGAACAAGGCCATCAAATTATCAGTTATTTGGCTTATTATAATTCACACCCCAGGCTGCCACAGGCCTCAAAATATCTTGGTCTGTTTCTTGATTGGAAGCGGTCTTTTTTGACAGCAGTTCCCCCTGTGGAAATATGTGACCATGTGCAAAACAGACTGATTGGCACAGACTATCATTTGGACTTCTACTTATACGAAACAATGCATCTGAGCTAGCTAAACCAAATTCCAAGAACCAAGAGTGACATGGTTGCCATAGGCTATAATCCAGGACGACCTGATTTGGTTAAAGTTGGTGCACACGTTGATTACTAACAACAGAAGGGCACCGCACAATTACAGAACAGAAAGTGAAAGATATATACAGTAGAGCAGTATTTGCAGCCCTGGATTGTGGGTGGATGACAGGCAAGGATGAAAACACATTGTGCCGGAACAAGCAAAAGACCAAACAAGAAACCCTATTAAAAAATTCCTCCCCACCCTTCAATCTAAATAAGGATCCTCTTCACCTTCATTTCCAAACACTACTACCTTCAGAAGGAGAAAGCCATAGAGCCACAACACAGAGAGGCTCTTACTCAGATACCCCAATGGGCTGGCAGAATCATCCTAGTGAATTTAAAAAACGAAAACAGCACAGGGACCCTTCTTCAACACATGCTTTCCTCCACCTTTCAGGGGAATAACCCCACCAAAAAAAACAGAGGTCCTGGCTATGCTTCAAACTGTCACACATAATACCAGGAATTCCATCTTCCTACAGAAACTACAGAAGGATCCAAGAATCCTGGCAGCACACACATGAAAACAAAAAACAGGTAATTCTGGAAATCAACCATCCTTCAGAGCCAACACACACAGAGAGAACTTTAGGTATTCTGCACTCTAATCCCAAGCATGTTTTGCTCAGTGGGGCTAATTTCCCGGTAAGTGTAATTAGGACTGCTGCCTTAATGACATAATTCACATGCGCTTGCAAAAACAAAAAAACCGAAATAAATAAAGTCCAATATCCAGACTTTGTACCATGAGATCGCTAACACAGAAAAGTATGCCCATGTTACCCATTAGCATGTGCTGTACTGCAATAGCCGAGAGGATCACTCTTTAACCACCGTTCCCATGAGAAGGACTGAAGGTGTAACATTTATGTGGTAGCTGCCCAATGTCGAATGATCCAGGATGGCTCTTCAAGACACATCCTGATTACTCCCTTAATAAGAAGCCAGGCGTCCTGACAAATCCCTAAACACACACACACCAGGCGTCCTGCCTGCCTCCTCTCCTGAAAAGGGACCCAGGCGTCCTGCCTGCCTCCTCTCCTGAAAAGGGACCCAGGTGTCCTGCTTGCACTCATCTTTCCCTCCTGAAAAGGGACCCAAGCATCCTGCCAGCTTACATATCCTGCTCCTCTCCTCCCTTTTCTCTCCTGAACAGGAACCCAGGAGTCCGGGCTGCATCTCCCACCCCTCCTTTGTAAGAAGCCCGGGCGTTCCGGTCTCCCTCCCTCCTCCCCTTCGCCGCCGCGACGAGGAAGCCAGGCGTCCCGAGGGTGCAACAACCGCGGCGCAGCCCTCCCGGCGGTGTCTTCCCGCCATTTTATGATGCCCCGACCTCCGCCGCTACTCACTCGGGAACAGGCGCGCCTCGGGGAAGCTCCCTCCGTCTCTCGGCTTGCCGCGCGCGCTCTGCGCTGCTCCCGGGCCGGCGGCGTCGCTGGCTCCTCCCCGGCGCCGGCGCCTCCTCCTCCTCCTCCTCCTGCAGGGCCTGCCTTGCTCCGCGAGGCCTCGTGCAAGGGGCGGGGGGAAGCCTTCCTAAGGGAAGGGCTGGAGAGGAAAAGGAGGAGCGGAGCCTGGCTAGGCCTAGGCTGGAGGGGAGTCAGTCTCTCCGAAGCGAGCCAAAAGCAAATTATCCCCATTCTCCTAAGCCTATTGATTCGGAGGCAAGTCCCGCCGAGTTCAGTGCATGCATGGAGGACCGGGGCTTTAGAGATGAAGAGAGTGCCGTTATGATTATTCTTATTATTACTATTGTTGTTGATGCTATATATTTATTTATATCCAGTGCTTTTTTTAAAAAAAGGTGCTGGTACTCCCACGTTTTTAACATCTGGGTGCTAGTATTGCGTATCCTTGAGTACCCCCAGAAAAAAGCACTGTTATTACCCTGCTCTGATCCTAAACCTCTGCTGCCTTGCAGGATATAGTACTTTGTAATAATTTTATTTGTACCCAACCCATCTGACTGGGTTGCCCAGGTGGCTTCTTCGGGAGAGGAAAAGGCTAAGGAGTAAATCTGGAATTGGATGGCGCCTTGTACACCTCCTTCCAGCGACTCCTGGTGCCAAGCTGGCCAAATGTATTGTTCTGATTTCCTTTGGACCACATCAGCGTGGCCAAGAAGGGGGTCTTTTTCTGGGCAGCCCTGGACCTCCATACACACTGCCCAGGCTTGTATCCCAGGGAGGTCACTTTGGTGTTGCTAAAGCAGTGGTTTGAATCCACACACCCAGACAAATGATGATGATGATGATGATGATGATAATTTATTATTTATACCCCGCCCATCTGGCTGAGTTTCCCCAGCCACTCTGGGTGGCTCCCAATCGAGTTTTAAAAACAATACAGCATGGATGGATGTTAACAACAAATTATACCTGGCCTTTTCCCCCAGCTTGCAAAAAAAGGGGGGGGCATTAAAAAAAACAACTGAACATTGATGGAATTAATCAATTAATCAAATGGCACCAGCCCTTTCATTAAAAGCAGTCAGTTTCTGTTGGAACGAGAAAGTATTCACCTGCAGGCAGAAGGACAAGGAGGGAGCCAGTCCTAACTTCTAAACCCTTCATTCATCAGGCTCATCCTTCACATTTTAAAGAATAAGTATCTTTGATAGGGCTGCTCATAAATGCTTGAATAGACATTAGGGGCTTAAATGCAAGGGTTGGGAACCTTTAGCACTCCAGCTATTTGCTAAACTACAACTCCCATCAACCCCAGTAAGCTTGGCCAATGGGCAAGGATGGTGGGAGCTGTACTTCAGCAGCATTCTGATGGGCATCCATCAGTCTTCGGTTGATGATGGAGAAGTGCACCTTTAGGGGTAAAGAGTGACAGCGCCTCCTGTGGCTGTAGAGACCAATACAGCAGAGACATGTTGTGTTGCAGGTGGGGCAGATGAAGGTGACCGGTTGTGCTGATGCAGGTGTGCCATGGCGTTTCTTCTTTCTGCGCTCCTCCCAGCGGTCATTCCTCCTCTGGTCACTGCTGGTCAGCAACATTGTTGTTGATTTCTTAAACAGAGGGCCAAAGATTCCCCACCTTTGGGCCACTGATTTAAGTCTGAGGCTGAAATTCTACGCACACTTACCTGGGAGTAGGCTCACCCTCTGAGTAGATGTATATCTGACTGCACAGCAAGGCCCTAATCTTTAGACATACCCACCTGAACACTTTATCCTGCCCTCCTTCCAAGGAGCTCAGTGCAGTGTACAAGATCCTCTCGCCACCCATTAAGCCCCCAACAATGCTGAGACCTAGCTTGGGCTGAGAGATAAGAGACTGGCTCAATATCACCCACTGAGCTTCACGGCTGATGAGTAGGAATTTGACGCTTAGGCCCTCTGGCCCTAATTTGGAATGTTAACCATTTTGTCAAACAGGCTCCGCATTGATTTGTAGTAACTCAGATGTAACTTGTAATATACAGTATATATTTCCACAAGTGGGAGAGATGGAAAGCAGGCCTCATTCCATCAGTTTAGCTGAAAGTCCAGCTCCTTACCCCTGAACTATGCAAGCTTGTCGTTATAAAAACAATTACTTAAGGATTGCCTGAGTATAATTTTCTCTCCCTATCCCTTTCCCCTTTTGTGTAATAGGGATTTTTTTAATTATTGGTTGTAAGCCTGTGGGCAAGGACTGTCTTGTTTAAGTTGGTTGTATGTGAGCCACTCTGAGAACTTTTGTTTTTGTTTTATTTTTGCTAAGGAATAGGGGACAAATGCTCTAAATAAATAAATAAATAGCTGACTCTGCCACAAATTGGCAATGTGCCCCGCTCCAGCCCAGGGAAAAAAGAAATGGGGAAAAGTAGATCCTACAAGCCTTCAATCTGCCCGTGCCTATTTTATGCCACTAGAATGTTACCATTTTCAAATACACAGTGAATGGCATCTATAGTTTTAGTTCACATGTGAGTTTATATTTAGCTAATAACCTCTCCAATAAGGTCATTGCAATTTGCTCTTCGAGTATTACGTGTTCACAATATGTACAAATTACACTTGACTATTAGCTGTGCTAATGAGCCCACTTAGAATAATCTAATCATTAGCTATTTGCATGCCTTAAAAAAAAGTTATTTCAGCTGCTTTCCTCTTCCTTTCCTTCCCCCTTTCAAACCAAATTCAAAAGATAAAAATGAAGTCACTGCTCCTTTCGACTGGATAATGCAAAATTCTAACATACATTTCCAAGAAAGAAAGCGCGCCAACCAACCAGCCTCAAAATTGACCCACTCAGTTATTTAAACTCATGATAATTTATTGGGTCTCACAGTAAACTCTTATAGAAAAAGTTTTAGGCATTAAGTCCTATGACGTGTTTTTCATTCAATTGCTTCAAAACGTAATAACTACATTTTCACTGTCTGAAAGCTTTCTTGTTCTGGCATCTTAATTGGTGCTCAAATTTATCTTTCTGCATAGTCCCACTGTTTTCAAAGGTCCACAGCCCACTCGAGTGCATTTTTACACAGAAATAAGTCCCCTGTGTTCAGTTGGAGTTAGTCCCAAATGGCTGTGCACAGGATCGCAGCAAGCTTTCTTCTGTGCCTAAAGAGAAACTACTTGAGAATGTGAGGGTGTCACTCTGAACAGACAGCATAAGACGGTTCCTGGTGTAAGAAGTCACTAAGCAACAGCCCAGCAGAGAGCCTACCACCAGCCGGAGAGGCCTTTTGAATTGATAGGTGCATGAATGATCCACCCTGATGTAATGTTAACAGTCTACAATATACTTCTGCTCAGAAACCTATGAGAGTTACAAGTATTCAGTTCTTCAAATCTTCTACATTGTTGTTGACTCTTTGTATGGTTGCATTTTTTAATTTATGAACAGTCTCTTGTGGATTCCCATGGAACATGCTGTTTCCCCCCATTTGATTCCTTTAATGAGTATTTTGAAAGGTATTTTTAAAATGTGGGGTTTCTGGTTTAGAAAAAAAGACAGAAAAAGAAGACTTTCCTTACCAGCATATTTATTTTAATTTTTCTCATGTTTTTTCTTGTGATGTGTCAACTACAGTCCACCTATGCCTCGGGAGATGTGAAACAATGACTGGAATGTGGATTTTGTGTAAATTTCCTGTGTCAGCAGTGTATCTAGTCTCTTGGCTGGTGAACTGGGCTGGTTTGGCTTCTTTAAAAGTTGATGCTGTTTTCTAGCAACACCACTGATTGCCTGAAAAGAACAATAGAATGTGGGTTCTGTAGAAATATTGTAGTTTAACGCATCATTCCCATCTTACTTAGTTGTAATGTTGTCCTTGGAAGTAGACACTCCAAAATGTTTTTCTGGAACAGAGTTTATTGCCTGGAACAGGTAGTTTATGGGTGTGAGGGTGTTAATAAAAGTATAATACAGAGGCAGTTTCAGTTCTGAAATATGTATCATGCTGTCATTCTCAAGTGTAAACCACTCTGATCTTCAGATGAAGGGCAGTACTGTACAGAATTCTCATAAATAATAATACTAAAATGTCTCTAACACATCCAGCTGTTTTACCAAGGAGTTGTTGGGTCTGATTTTGTTCCGTTCCAACTTTTGGCTTGTACCCTGTCCCATACAAAGAGCCTGCTGGATCAGACCAAAGGCCCTTCTTCTTCCAACACCCTGTTCTTACACTGACTAACCGGTTGTCTATGGGGAAACCCACAGCAGGACACAAGCACCTTCTCCCACAGCAAATGGTGTTCAGAAGATGTATGTTGCCTCTGACTCTGGAGTCTACAGCTACTGATGACCATATCCTCATTTATCTAATCCCTTTAAGCCACTCAAGTTTGTGGCCATCACTACATCTTGTGGTAACCAACGGTGAAGAAATATGTGGCCTTTAGTCTGTTCTGAATCTCTCATAAATCACCCATTCACACACATATGTATAACCTACTTAAATACATGGAAACTCCCCCCCCCCCACTGCAAGGGTCCTTTAATAGGGTCACATCAAAACTTTTGCAGACACAGGCAAGCTGCATCAGGGAAAGAAATTTCAGATACTTCAAAGGCTTTCAGGCAGCCACTGTGGTGCAGTGGTTACTATACCAGGGCTTGGAAGACCAGGATTCAAATCCCTTTTCTCAGCGATGACCTCGGGCCAGTCACCATCTCTCAACTTAAACTACCTCAAGGGTTGTTGTGAGGATTATTATTATTATTATTAATTTATATTATTATTATTTATATTAATTATTTATTTAAAATGGGGAGGGGAAAGAACCATATACTCTAGCTTGTCTCCTTGGGAGTTAAGGCGGGATATAATAAATAAACAAGGCTTCTCAGTTAACTAGTTCCTAGCCAGGTGGGTGGAATGAAACGCACCCCCTTCCCTCCCTAAGACATTTGACAGCCAAGCCTTGACCCGGGCTTAATAAAGCTGCTACCAACGTCACCCATGAAGCGCACGGATTGACGCAACGAGCCGCCCATCAAACGGCAGGGCCCGCCTCGGCCTTATAGGTCGAGTCTAGCCAATGGGCGCGAGCGTTCTCAACTC